TCTATAAACCACCATAACATACATATAAAAGGTATTGATGGTTGTACGATGCCAAGATGTAAAAAATTAAGATGAAAAGGAATATCCACTAATTCTATTATTAATCCAATGATGAGCATAACAATCATTAGATGGTTGATTATTTGACATCGTAAATTTTTGTTAATCAAAAGATGGTAAAGTAAAAATAAAGAACAAATGATTGATGGAATATCTAATAGTAATAAAAGCCAAAATCGAATTGGACGAGGTATAGGTGTCTCGGATTCTTGAAATTTGCCGTCATCATTATCATTATCTTCAAAGCTATTGTTGGTAGTCATTCTCTGAAATGAATATGAATAAAAATATAAATAACAATTTTGAGACTTTTATAATTATCATTTTAATCTTAACATGTTAATTCGTAGGATCAAGAAAGAAAAGCTTTGACTTAAATTGTGTTTTTCTGTCATGTCTTGAATATTCTTGCATTCTTTTTTTATTTTTGAGCTATTGAAAAAGAATTTGGATGAAGGCTATCATAATTATAGTAGAATTAATTCTCATTGCTAGAGGAAATCTAGGTCAACATATACCCTATAACCAGATAATGAACTTTAAGTAGTAAACAATTAACAAAGGCAAAATGTGTACAGTGTAAATTTGCATTGACAATGAACAGATGAAAACTTGAATGAATATGAATCCTGATGAACTTCACACTATTTTAAATTTGAATAAACAATTAAACAAGCATCAATTCTATTCTTCAAATATTTTTAGAATTCCATACCATAAGTTGAAAACAACGATAGCACTTGTCAGCCTGTGATGAGAATGTTTAGATTTTAAAAAATCGTTAATTAGAATGCGTAAGACAAGTGAAGCATGTACAACGGAGATTATAGAATATTCTAAAAATAAAAATAAGATACAGTGAAGACGTTTACTCGATCGATTGACATCAATCATCAGAATCAAATTATTTTATCTTATAGACGCAAACATGACTTTCTCAAGAAATCATTATTATTATTTTCTTTATTTTACAAATATGAAGTTGATTTTGTATTTATATTTTTCAAATGAACACTTCGTCTGAACAGTCATCGCTTCACAGAAAATAGGTTAATTTCGATAAGATCTAGCAGCTCTTAGTAACTAAAGGCTAACAGACATTCATGTTTTTATTACCTCACAGTTTTTGCAATATGGCCCAGAACATTAAAAAATTCTATATCGTCATACTTTATTTATAATTATATAATGTTTTGCATCGTAGCACTATTAGTTTTATGTTTGTAGAAATGAAACATGCACATGACATTTATAGAGAGAGAGATTCTGTAAATGATCAACTTTTTTCTAGAAGATGAGTTTACTACCGCTGCAGCACATGAAAGTGCACTTTCGTAGTTGTTTTTTTCTAATACACTATACTACAGATAATAAAGATGTCAATAAAATATCGTTTGAATTGTGTTTTATTCGTTATGTGAGATTAACTTAAGATATTATTAGAGCTAAATATAATATTCATAAATGATAAAAAAGTAAAAATTATTTACAAAATATTTGACTGCAGTTAAAACAACTTGTAAGCCTGAATGTGATGTTATGATGAATTTTCAAAGATCTATTGACACTGAGAAATTACCCAAAAAACATTTTCTCTAATATAAAAAACGTATATTCATTGTATTGTTTCTTGGATTACTTCCACTTTTTCATTAAATGATAATGAACTTCTTAAGGCTGCTTCCTGGCCCAAATCGACCATAGTTCCAGACCCATTCGAATCTCATGAAATTTTCAGGATATGTTGGGGGTGTGGTGAAGAGACTATGCTACAATTTTGAATCCTATATTGTTAGGCTTGATGAAGATATTCAACAAACAAAGGTCAAATATAGCTCATTTAGGAACCCAAAATTTTCTGTAGACCTTGTTTCTAAAGACTTAATGTTTTTTATTCGAAATAGTATGTCAGGATGCAGGACCTGCAAGAACCCTTTTCTTAAATTTTTCCTTTTTACGACGTGAAAAGTTTGAGATCTCGAAAAAAACTCTCAAAAAATAACGCTCTAACTTTAAAAGTACTCTTTTATATGATATTAACACAACTTAATTTAAAAGAAGATACTCTGTCATGTCTTGCATCTTAGCATGTTCGTTCAAACGAAAAAACAAAAAAGGTATTGGATGCAATGCAGGTACTTCGAGAATTCTGTGATGTGCGACCACAAATGGAAAAGCAAACAAAGAGCGAAGAGGATTTCCTGCTTCTTCTGAAAACAACATATTTCTGAAGCAGACGATAGCAGAAATCATATAAAATTTTTGCCAAAAGCAAGGTTTCGAATAAAAAACCATATCATTGATGAGAGGTGAGGCTTCGAGTTATCCTCCGACGCATTTATCTTAATTTCGATAATTCTAACCAAAATTGATTTTTCCTCATCAAAGATGACCTACAGGTGTTCCAAAAAGTATCCGAACACTTAAGACCACTCTCACCCTTCCTCAAAACCGATTTTGGTCCAGACTCATAAATTGCATGGAATTTTCGGAATATATTGGGACTATCGTGAAGCGACTATGATAAAACTTTCAGCTCTATAACATGACGTTTAAAGGGAGATACCGCTAAAGAAGGGTCAACAATGGCTCATTTGGTAACCCAAAATTCTTTGTAGGCCTTCATTCTATATATTTAATTTTTTTGTTTGAAAGAGCATGTCAGGATACAAGGCATGACAGAGCTCTTTTTTGTAAATTTTTAATTTTTTAAGCGGGGAAAATGGATGATAAGTTCAATAACTAAAATAACTCCGAAAAAATGGAAGTGTTTTGGGTTATTGAACTTGTCATCCATTTTTTCCGCTTGAAAAGCACTCTGTCATGCCTTGCATCTTGACATGCTTTTTCAAACAAAAAAAAATAGACACATAGAATGAAGACCCACAGAGAATTTTGGATTACTAAATGAGTCATTGTTGAATATTGCTTAGTAAATATCTCCCTGAAACATCATGTTATAAGGCTGATAGTTTTATCATAGTCTCTCTATAACAATTCCAACAAATCCTGAAAATTTCATACGATTTGCATGTGCCTGGATCAAAATCGGTTTTGAGGAAGAGTAGGAGTGGCCTTAAGTGTCCGGATACGTTTTGTAGCACCTGTAATTTCAAGTAAGAGAGGCTCATCTGAGTTACCTTCCTTCTGTTTCATCTTTTTTTCATTGGATGAATTATGTATTTTTCGCCGGTCTATAAAAGGGAACAATTTTTTTTCCAAATGGAATCGTTAGATTAATGCGAAAATAAACCCTTATAGATATGGCTATCCTGCTATAACGAGTACATCTGTAACAGTAATTAACATTTTTCAAATATGTAGGAAAGATGGGTGTTAATCAGCATAACAATGGAGTCCACATACGTTCGACATGCTATGTTCATTACTGAAATCAAATCCATTATATTGCCACAGGTTGAAAAATACCGTGACATAACGAAAGTGCTCCGTATTGTATAATAAGATGTTGTTTTGCATCTGGTCTAACCATTCGTCTACGCAAAACGAAAGTTTAAATCGAAATGATCATATCCAGCTAATGACTTTCTTCAAAAAAACATCAGTTTTATATTTCTTCGTACGTCATGTTGTAGCAAATTTTTGAATGTGATCCATAATGACTTTGAAACTGCAAAATAATGGTGCTATTTGAATGCGATCCATTTTTAAATCTGTTTGAACACTGAAATGATCATTAATTACTGCTCTGAAAATTTTCATACTTCTTTGTAAATCTCGTAGTCACTTTTGTATTTTACTTATTATTTTTGCATATATTGAATTAATCTTGTTTTTTTTCCAGGTCAAACTATGTAGAATAAACTTTATTACAATCAATTCAAGGCATTCGATCTCTAATTTTCATAGTATTCAATCAAGTCAAAGATCTCTTTGATAATACGGAGAAAACATGTGATTTGCTACTGATACGTGTCGAAGATCCATAGAAATAAGTTGTTTATTTATACGAAACAACGACATACACCGCTTGAAGAAAATATTCGGTTTTTTTTACAAAAGAAAAATTTTGACTATTATGAGCCATAAGTGAATCCTGAATTTGGAATGTTGTATGCGACTAAATCATTCACCAACTTTACATGCACGTTTATTAATGTAATAGATTCAATTATTATAATCATGAAATAATCAGAAATCAATATATTTTATTGAATCTTTTCTGTAAATGAATACAACACTGAATAAAGAATAAATTATGTTTTGTTAATGATTAAATAAGAAACGACATTTAAAGTAAATGAGATGCATTAACGTACTATTTGTTCATGAGTTTTTTGAGGTATGACAGTAGCATTTCGTTGTGCTCGTTGTAATAAAAATAATCTTCTCAATTGCATTTTCTTCCGTACCTCAGATACAAAACCAAGACATACCAAAGGATATAGAATTACCACAAAGTAACATAAAAAATCGAAGTACCGTTCAACTTCAACAGCTACACTTTCTAGTACACCACAAAGATGAGCAAAAATTGAAACATTCAATGGAATATTGGGTATAAGATACAGAATAGAACCAGAAATTAATTGAATCATCATTTTACGTTGTCTACGCCATTGATTACGTTGATTAACAAGACGTCGTTTTTGATAATGAACTCGAATAACAATGGTAACACTGGAAATACATACGACAAATGTTGGTACAATACTATTCATAACAGAATCCCATATGCCAAGTACAATATCATCCAAATAACATGGATAATTATTACAAACAGGTAATGTATAATCAAATGTATTCTTACATGGTGGAAAGATTATGACATAAATATAAAAAATCAATATATAAAGAAGCAATATGATAAGAGGTAAATAATGAAAAACAAAACGTTTCTTTCCTTGCAAAAATATTTTCTCATGAAATATAAATAAATAACGATGAAAGGAACTCCATGACATAATTATTGTAAATCCATTATATAGACCTAAGTCTATAAACCACCATAACATACATATAAAAGGTATTGATGGTTGTACAATACCACTATGTAGAAATTTAAGATAAAAAGGGATATCCACTAATTCTATTATTAATCCAATGATGAGCATAACAATCATTAGATGGTTGATTATTTGACATCGTAAATTTTTGTTAGTCAAAAGATGAAAAAGTAAAAATAAAGAACAAATGATTGATGGAATATCTAATAGTAATAAAAGCCAAAATCGAATTGGACGAGGTATGGACCTCTCGAATGCATGAAATGCAACTTCATTACGATCATTACCTTCAAAGCTATTGTTGGTAGTCATTCTCTGAAATGAATATGAATGAAAATATAAATAACACTTTTCAAAACTCTTATGTTTATCATTATAATGTCAACATGTTCATTATTATGATCATAAAAAAAGAAGCTTTGACTTGACTATAGAAATGACATTCATGTTATATTGTGTTTTATCAAGGTTTGAATTCTCTTGCTTTCTATTTTATTTTTAATCTAATGAAAATAATTTAGATGAAAGCTATCATAATTATAGTAGAATTAATTCTGGTTGATAGAATAAAACTAGATCAAACCATACAATATTAATAGTTAACAACCTTTATATGAGGAGCCAGAAACGAACCATGTAATCATAAAACGCAGTTTTGGCGCGTTTAAACGCGTCTGGAATTGAAACAGCCTCGAAATGGATTGAAATGCGTTCATCATAGGGGTGTTTCAACGCGTTTCAACGCGAATAGTATGATTTTTGCATCGGAATGCGTTCATACTTGGAAATAATATTAACTTAGACGCGTTTGAATGCAATTGCTTTTACTTTTGTATCCGAACGCGCTTTCCCTATATGCAACTAATGCTTTTGAGTTCCAATCGTGCATGTAAATGTAGTTTCTTTTTCTGTTTTGCATAGGCAAGATGCATCTGAACGCGTTTCTAGCTGCAAATTCACATAGTGCTATTAATAATGCAGGTTACTTCGTCACAGTACGCGTGACTAGATCTCGAACAGTAAACTGAACTACTTATTTTTTATTTAAAAAAGCATAAAAATTATATAGTTAATTATATAGATGACTTATATAAATCTTACTGCGTTTCGAATTCTTAAAGAGGACTCTTCTTGATAATCTGCAGTTTCAAATATCAGTGGCTAGCATTGCATGAAACAGAATATAAATACAAATAGTTGGATACAAGAAATCTCATCATATTTGTGTTCAGCATATAAAGTCATGAAGACTTAGTTAATCTGTGAAATAGAAACAAATGAGTACACGTATCAAATTTTGAAATGTATAGGACATTCATTCGAAAACGGTATTACAATAATATTATTTTGCTACATGTCACTACTAGCACTTTTTTTCACGAAATCAATTTCGCTCTTGTATAACACATATGTTAAGCGTAGCAATTTAAATTTCAAAATAAATAAAATTTAAGTGTTAAGCAAAAATGTCCATTTTAACTCAAACATGAAGTTCAAAGTTAGTTTCCATGTAAACCTATTAAAGACACAAACAGATAAGAAATAGAAGAAACGAATGAATCTGGATGTAGCTCAGACACAATGGTAGAGTTGCTTTCAAACACACCTTGAAACAGAATTACGTCTGAATGTGGCTAAAAACAACTTGAAATAGCGTCTAAATGCAGTCAGAACACAAAATGTGTATTCAGACACTATTGCCATCGGGCGTTTACATGCATCCATGTGCAACAAATATTTTATCTGAGTTGGTTATGAACGAATTTACAATACATTTAATGTTTATGTGTTAAAGTCTAAAGTTTTTCTGCTTCTTCACATACGAATTCTTACACTAAAGAGTCATATATGACAGAAGAAACAAAACACATATAATCGTCTACAAAATATGCAACTCTTTAAATTTACTTTCTTCAATTTCCACTATTTTTTTTGAAAAGTAAATTCTATAAAATTTATCTTCACCTCGCTATGATTAAAAATTTCATTCAAAATAAAAAAGAAAAAGAAAAAATAATTATTTAATTTAAATTTAAAATTTAAATTAATTCTTTGTTACTTTAAAAAGACAAAAAAGTTAAGATGCTGCATCCATTGAGCATCTATTGAATAAGGAATTAATTATCGAAAAAAACCGTTTTTCTCGTATTCTGTGATCCAAAAACTATAATTATTGTTTTTATAAAGTTAATCATATGTAACCGATGTCATGTATGCAATATTAAGTGACACTGATAAATTAAAAAAATGAAAATATTTCAAAGTTTATATAATTTAATAAAGCAATTGCTATAAATTGATCTTTTTCTCTATAAAAAATCACATGATAATAACAGATAAGACTACGAATATTTGTAGCTTCGTGGTAAGTTCAATGTCTTTCATTCTGTAGGCATCATGATCGAATCTCGTTTGTTGCATTCTATTCAATAACTTAATAATGTGTTAAATTGAAATAAAAATGTCATGTAGCGATGAAAATGGATCGATACTATGATATAGAGCACAATTTTTTAAAATTTAACAAATTTTGGATATCCTAAAACGAGTTTCGACGCGTCTAACAATAAACTACGTCAGGATGCATTTCACTATTAGGACGCGTTAGGACACCCAAAAATGTTGCATTTTAGGCACATCCAAACGTGGCACAAACTTAAACGTGTTTGTCTGTGTTTCAAACTGGTATCGCGTTAGAACACCCGAAAATGTTGCATTTTGGATGCATCCCGACGCGTGAAATTACATTGCTGACAAACGCTCGGGGACGCGTTGAAAATTAAAAAAATGGATACATGGGGAAGCGTAAATGCATTCAATGTAAAAATGTGTTAATCCTTTCAATCCCGCATGTCATCTACGAGATGACATGCAATTCGAAATATAGAAATTTTGCGTTCTGTCGTCTTCCTGCTTGACACATATCATATGTGTGTTCAAAGAAACGCGTGTATTCTTCGCTGTGAAAATATTTTTTTTCGTACTGAACTAGTGTAGCTGAAATTCGTGTACAACTGATTATCTAAATAAGAACGCAAGAGAGAGAAATCTAGACTTTCTGCAGCTTTGTATAAAATGATAGAAAATGTCGAGATTGAAAGGGTTAATAATGAACGCAACAAAATTCAAACGAATATGAATCGTGATAAAGCTTGGCACTATCTCAGATTTGAATAAATAATTAAGCATGCATCAATGCTATTGTTCAAATATTTGTAGAATGTTGATGCATCAAGTCAAAAAGAAAATCGCGCGTATACACTTCCAGTGAGAACGTGCAGATCAAAAGCGTCGTAATAAGGAAAGAACTTGGGATGATAAGGGCATTTTTCTCTCCAAAACGTTTTTGGAAAAAACTATACGGCGATAGTAAGTTGCCCATGAGCTACAACATGGACATATTTATTCACCTTAATTCGACATCAAAAATTTTTGCATCTGTACTCCTCACGACATATCAAGAAAAAAGTTTTTTTCAATCAAATACATGTCACTATATAGAGTCGATAATACTGATCACGAATATCAGAATGGTTTCTGTTCAAAGTCTTTTGATAAGTCAGAATGCAAAATTTCTGATGATTTAGGTCCTCGACGAAAATTCAAGCTTTCCTTGATTTTTGAGTCATGGTCGTCTTAATTTAGCGTTTTAATTTTGTGAAAATTTATTCCAAATAGTTTAATCGAATATTCTCTATACAATGATGAAAAAATTATAGTATCTTAATACACAAAGCAAGTTTTACAATCCGATTATAAGCGAAAAATTCTGAATAAATGTTATAGACGACTCTTTTTCAAGTGATACCACTTCGCCATATAAGCATGTTGCCCTGTGAAAGTGATATAGGTAGATGCAGTTTTTCATGCTCCATCCAAATATGTCCTTGAAGAACAAAAAAATGTCCTGTTGTGGTAAAATGGCTGGTTAGTAGTAAAAAGCCATATTTTTTAGATCACATTTTCATAGTTCTCACATGTTATGGATCGACGTATACATTTAACTAACATAACTAGTGTTCAATTAGACAGAGCGCACTTGATTACCTATAATAAATATTTTTAAGGTATTACGAATCCAAGGTAGATCGATAGAAAACGATCATAAGTGCTTTTACTATAACGGTTAATAATGCTGAAAAATAGCCTGAATGCTTGAACGGTTTCCGTCATCAAGGCCGCATGATCCAAAAAACAATCACATGATGAGAATAACCAAATTATGGACTAAAACTTTTGGCATACTTAGCGTCATTTATCAATCATCGAGATTTTTCACATCTGTACCCGCTTCCAGCCTTCAGAAACTTGGAAAACTGTTTTCATTGATTATTTGTCAAACAAATGTCATAATATAGAATCTATGCCACTAATCACATATAGCTCCTTATTTTTTGTGGAAACAACTTAAACAAGTGGGAAGACGAAGTATTAAACATTTTAACTCCTGACAAAAAGGACGGTGATCCTTGTTTGTTATTTAAGTGACTCCTGTCTCGACAGAATGCTCTAAACCTTTGAAAAAATGTTAATATAGACAATTCAGTGTGCTCTATCTAATGGAATACTAGTTATGTTAGTGAAATGTATACGTCAATCCATAGCATGCGAGAACTATGAAAATGTGATCTAAAAAATATGGCTTTTTACTACTAACCAGCCATTTTACCACAGCAGGACATTTTTTTGTTCTTCAAGGACATATTTGGATGGAGCATGAAAAACTGCATCTACCTATATCACTTTCACAGGGCGACATGCTTATATGGCGAAGTGGTATCACTTGAAAAAGAGCCGTCTATAACACTTATTCAGAATTTTTCGTTTGTAATCGGATTGTGAAACCTGCTTTGTGTGTTAAGATACTATAATTTTTACATCATTGTATAGAGAATATTCGATTAAACTATTTGGAATAAGTTTTCACAAAATTAAAACGCTAAATTAAGACGACCATGACTCAAAAATCACGGAAAGCTTGAATTTTCGTCGAGAACCTAGATTTCGTGTTTTCGTTCTGTCGTAATCTATTCGTCCATACAAGGAGATCATTCGCGAGTTTAACACATAATGCAGATAATGAGGGACAAAGTGGTGTTTTATCGTTTAATATGCTTTGTTTGACTAAAGTTAGAACCACCTTCATCATCATTTGACAGACGGGAGGGATTAATTGACTGACGAAATCACGTTGAAATACAGTATTAATTTGTTGTAGTTGTCACTCGTGATTGTGATTCATGATTATTTGTTCAATCCGTGAAAGTAAATCAAAATAATTACTATTTAAATCTAATAATCGATTTAAGTTATGCTCCAACTTATTCATTTTGTTAAAGAGTTTATCGTTTCTTGTACGAGTGTTGTTAAATGAATAATTAACTATATAGTGATTATTATTATTATTATTCGGATTTAATAATGGAAAATCTCGATTATTATAAATAAAATTTGTTTGGATTTGTCATTAATGATTCGATGGACCGGATGAAGTTAAAAGAGATTTTGCAAGTGTAGTCCTATATTCTTTGATATTCTGATATCTAACATCATTAGAATCATGTAGACCTTTGCATCTAATACAACATTGTTTTTTGTCACAACCTTCTTTATGTTGATTAATATCATTCGTACCGACACCACATGTTCTACAATAATCCAAGATACTTCTACATATCCTTCTAAAGTGACCAATCTGAAAACACTTGGTGCATATCAGTACTTTGGCTGGATTTAAGTACTCAGTTACAGCTAAACGACTATTATTAATGTAAATATATTTCTTATCAAGCAATTCTTCAATGACATTTATATTGTTAATATCTAATCGAACGAAAGTAGTTGGTTGTTTGTTCTTGTTAGCAATTCGATGTGCATCTATTACATCTGGATAGTCATTTATAATATTGGTTAATAATGCATTGACTTCAATATCATTTTGAACATTTCGAGGAATAAGTAAAAACTATTGTGGTAAATGATTTGGAACCGTTTTTTCATAATCAAGAGATTCAATGGTTATTGGGCACTTCTGGATGTCAAATAACATTGAGAATGATTCACGATCACTAACAAATAACGACAAATCACGGTTCCGTTTTAAACGATGCCTGACAAAGCTTAAGTTAAAATCATTTATTAGTTGAGTAATGGAATAAGATATATTTGATTATCGATTTTTCATCAATATCTTGATTGAATTCAATAATAAATGGTGGAAAGGCATATCGAGTTTCGGCAAAACAACGTGCTTGCTGTGATATTTCCATTGAATTGTACCTTGTGTCTGATGCAATATCATTAATTGGTTTTATTTGTGGACAGCCAGAATTAGCTGGATGAACTTTGGTGACGATACTACTTGTATTCGTAGAGAAAATAGAACTGTGGGCACTTGCTATTGATATTGTTGAACAGGACGAAGGTGTATCATTATGTGTATGATCAATTTTTGATTTCTTCTTTCTCTGTTTGACTAAAATGAAATTGTTCTCGATCTCACTTTCCATTTGTATTACAAAGTTCTGAAATTGTTGTTGATCAGGTTACTGATGGATCACGTATGTGGTGGGTGGATAAGACTGACCAGATGTTGGAATGTGCTGGTTGAGGTGCGAGATATTCAGTAGCATTGGTTGATAGTGGTACAACATGGATGGCTCAACATTGGAAGTTATGTGCTGGTGTTGTTACAATTAGATGAACCGGCTTGATTTGGAATAGAACCACTGGTATCAGCTACACATGGATGATATAACAATATTCATAGTTGATGGGTTTGAAGATCTGAGTGAGTAATGGAAGAGTTAAATGAGCCTGTTGCCAGGCATGTCGGGAGAGCCGGGATGAGGTTGGATAATATGTGAGGTGTTGTGAATGAAAGATGACCCACGCATGAAATTATAAGTAAACAAACAAAACAATGTGACTATGGAGAGGAAAGAACCAATGTAAAGACTACATAACGATAAATACCAGATGGAAAAGACACATCTTATCCATACTTGTATAATGGAATGAATGACAAAATGAAAGTTTAAATCAGAATCACCATGTTAAGCTGATGATTTTCGTGATTGAACATCAATTATAAATTTCTTTCTTATTCAGGTGAAAACAAAGCTTCGAATCTGAGTCATAATGATTTTGAAACTACAAAAAAAGCGGTGATATTTCAATGTAGTCTCTTTTTTAACTCTCTTTGAAGACTTGAATGATCATTAATTACTGCTCTGAAAAAGTTTATCTTTCTTTATAAATCTTATATTCACTTTTGTATTTTACTTATTATTTTTGCATATATTGAATTAATCTTGTTTTTTTTCCAGGTCAAACTACGTAAAATAAACTTTATTGCAATCAATTCAATGCATTCAAGCTCTAATTTTCATAATATTCAATCAAGTCAAAGGTCTCTTTGATAATACAGAGAAAACATGTGATTTGCTACTGATACGTGTCGTCGAAGATCCATAGAAATAAGTTGTTTATTTATACGAAACAACGACATACACCGCTTGAAGAGGACACTCAGTCTCTTTTTATAAAAGAAAAATTTTTAATTATTATGAGTTGTAAGTGAATACTGAATTTCGAGTGTCTTCTTATCCGTGAAATAGATTCAATTACTGTGATTATTTCCCAGCCAGGAATGAATATATTTTATTGAATCTTTTCTGTGAATGAATACAACACTGAATAAAGAATAAATTATGTTGTGTTAGTGATTAAATAAGAAACAATATTTAAAGCAAATGAGATACATTGACATATTATTATTCATAAGTTTATTGAGGTGTGACAATAGGATTTCGTTGTGGTCGTTGTAACAAAAATAATCTTCTCAATTGCATTTTCTTCCGTACCTCAGATACAAAACTAAGACATACCAAAGGATATAGAATTACCACAAAGTAACATAAAAAATCGAAGTACCGTTCAACTTCAACACCTACACTTTCTGATAGACCACAAAGATGAGCCAAAATTAAAAGACTCAATGGAATATTGGGTATAAGATATAGAATAGAACTAGAAATTAATTGAATCATCATTTTACGTTGTCTACGCCATTGATTACGTTGATTAACAAGACGTCGCTTTTGATAATGAACTCGAATGAGAATAGTGACACTAAAAATACATATGATAAATATTGGTAAAATGCCATTCACAACAGAATCCCATATGCCAAGTACAAGATTATCCAAATAACATGGATAATCATTACAAACAGGTAATGTATAATCATATGTATTCTTACATGGTGGAAAGATTATGACAATTATATAAAAAATCAGTATATAGAGAAGTAATATGCTAAGAGGTAAATAATGAAAAACAAAACGTTTCTTTCCTTGCAAAAATATTTGATCATGAAATATAAATAAATAACGATGAAAGGAACTCCATGACATAATTATTGTAAATCCATTATATAGACCTAAGTCTATAAACCACCATAACATACATATAAAAGGTATTGATGGTTGTACGATGCCAAAATATAAAAAATTAAGATGAAAAGGGATAGCTATTAATTCTATTATTAATCCAATGATGAGTATAACAATCATTAGATGATTGATTATTTGACATCGTAAGTTTTTGTTAATCAAAAGATGAAAAAGTAAAAATAAAGAACAAATGATTGATGGAATATCTAATAATAATAAAAGCCAAAATCGAATTGGACGAGGTATGGACCTCTCGAATGCTTGAAATGCAACTTGATTATTGTCATTATCTTCAAAGCTATTGTTGGTAGTCATTCTCTGAAATGAATATGAATGAAAATATAAATAATACTTTTCAAAACTCTTATGTTTATCATTATAATGTCAACATGTTCATCATTATGATCATAAAAAAAGAAACTTTGACTTGACTATAGAAATGGCATTCATGTTATATTGTGTTTTATCAAGGTTTGAATTCTCTTACTTTCTATTTTGTTTTTAATCTAATGAAAACAATTTAGATGAAAGCTATCATAATTATAGTAGAATTAATTGTGGTTGATAGAATAAAACTAGATCAAACCATACAATATTAATAGATA